TCGCGGGGCGCCGCGGAGGAGGCGGCGGCCCCGGAGGCCCCGGAGGAGGTGGAGGCGGCCCCGGAGGCCGGAGCGGGCGGGGATGAGAAGAGGAAGAAGAAGAAGAAGAACAAGAGGAAAGCCGCGGCTGCTGCGGAAGGGGGTAGGTTATGTCTGGGGATAGAGGGTTGGCCGGTGTGGGAAGCGCCGTGTCTCGGTCTGGTGGGCGTTGTGAAGCTCTGGGGATCGTCGCTGTTGCTTGTTTTAACTCTAACGCGTGTTAGCCCGCCGGGTGAGCGGAGCCGGGCTCTTCAGTGATGACAGGGGGTCATGGAAGCAAACTGCAGCACAGGAGGTTCCATGTGAATATCAGGAAGAACTTATTTCCTGTGAGAGTGACAGAGCCCTGGGACAGGCTGCCCAGAGAGGCTGTGGAGTCCCCATCCCTGGGGACATTCCAACCCCCCTGGACACGTTCCTGTGGGATGTGCTCTGGGTGCCCCTGCTCTGGCAGGGGGGTTGGACTGGATGGTCTTTCGAGGTCCCTTCCAGCCCCTAAGATCCTGTGATTCTGTGAACCACTTTGTTACATAGGGTTCTGCTTTGTAACATCAAGTTTGGATGCCTTGCTTCTTTATCATGCAAATACATATCCTGTACATCTCAGCAACACACTCAGCCTTTGGCAACATCTCTGTGTTATTTAACTAAAGATACTGGAAAGTGACCCTGAGAAATTAAATCCTGCAGGTAATTTATTGATTCCTATATATATTTTTAATACATACACGCAAATAGATGTAAGTGCATGCGTATGCACTGCAAGTTTCTATCCATTATGTATTTGGTACTTGTGACACTTGTCATGGTTATGCAAATAAGAGGTGTTTTCCTGCTCTGAGGATCCAGGAACTTGAAACAAGAAACATTACATTTCACATGTCCTGAGCACAAACTGTTGGAAACTTGCTTTCTGCTTTACAGATAGGAAAGAATTTTGTAACTTGTTTAAGAATAATTTTTCTTGCTTCCACGGAAAACGTTGTATGATATATACATTAAGCTTCATTGTTTTACTTTGCAGAGTGGACAGTGAGCAGGCAACTTCTGAATCTTTTTATCTCTGCCTCAGAAAGTTCCATATAAACCTTGCCTCCCCTTCTCCTCTCACTTTCCCACTCCATGAAAGCAACGTAAGAGTGATACATGTGTGGTTTACAGACTACAGAAATGCACTCTGTGGAACAGCTTTTAATTATTAACATGTTCCTTGTCTCTCTGACTTGTCTTTTGTAAAATAACACTCTAGATACAGAAACTAAAAAAGCCAAAACTGAAGAAGATGAACCTGTTCAGGTAGAAGATGAGGATAAGCAGGATTCTGGAGAGAAAGAAGTGGAAGAGGAAGAGGGGGACGAGGAGGAGGATGAAGTGCCCAGCTTACCACTGGGTGTAACAGGTATCTTGTGATCTCTTTGTCATGTGTGTCCAAAAAGCCAAGGTCTGACACTTTCTGCCAGAGCAAGTTGAAGTTTTCCAGTTGCCTTTATAACTCAGGTGTTTGAATGTAGGTGACGTGACACGGGCGGTTGTACAGCCATTACTCAGTTACTGCTGCTGGAAATTTGCATTATAGACACCCTCTAGTAGTCTTTACAATTGCTAGTGAAAATCAGTTTTAAAATGCATACACATGTGTAACTATAGGAGAAAAGCCAATGAAGAGCAAAGTGGAGGTGTACAACTAGTAAATTTGACAGAAGCAGTGCATTAATGTTCATTTTTAACAGCTCTGTGTCATATTCCTAGGAAAATATGAATACAGAGTCTTTTGTTAGGGTCTTCAGATTTTATGGTAAAAAGGAATTAAAACAAAGTCCTTTGCTTTGATTTTTATTTTTCATCTAAGTCAATTTTAACTGGCTAATCTCAGAGGACAAGTGGAACTGAAGAAATAAGTTTGAATATTTTTTATTTCCCCCCTGACTTCAGGTGCTTTTGAAGACAATTCTTTTGCTTCCCTGGGTGGTGTTGTCAGTGAGAATACTTTGAAAGGCATAAATGACATGGGTTTTACGCACATGACTGAAATTCAGCATAAAAGTATTAAGCCACTTCTGGAAGGCAGGTAAGAAATAGGTATTTAAATCACTATGTTAACCCCAAATATATCCATTCTGCGAGCAAGCTGAATTCATGAAATGTGACTTTCTGCAGCTAAACTGCTTGTAATTTTTAAAATGCGGTCTCATATTGTTTATAGACATTAATACAAGTTAGCAGAACATGTGATTGTTGCCTGTGAACAAATTATTAGGGTAAGGTCATGGAAACTACTCTGTGTCTGGCAGTGAAAGCAGCAAAGTATGTTTTCATAAGCCTGGTGTCAATGTGTCTCTAGAGACAGGTTGCTGTGAACCACATCTGCCACCGAGCTCTAATGCCAGCTCTCCTGTTCCTGGAAGCCATGTTTTTACATTGTCATATTGTTCAAAAGAGTACTGCTATTTTCTCTAGGATTAACTAAATATTTTTAAGTACTATCAATAAATACTCTTTATAACTTTGTTCCATACAGGGATATTTTGGCAGCTGCAAAGACAGGCAGTGGCAAAACACTCGCGTTTCTTATTCCTGCAGTAGAGCTCATCTACAAGCTAAAATTCATGCCTAGAAATGGTAAGGCTCTTTGTTTCACAGTTGAATTTTACTGTGGTGCAGCTGTTTAGGGACATGGCTAAGGGGCGGGGGGGATTGGAGGAGTTGTTGTAACTTACTCTTGGTGTATTTTTTAGGAACGGGTGTTATTATTCTCTCTCCTACCCGAGAGCTTGCTATGCAAACCTATGGAGTTCTTAAAGAACTTATGAACCATCATGTTCACACCTATGGTCTGATAATGGGGGGCAGTAATAGATCAGCAGAAGCACAGAAACTTGGAAATGGCATCAACATCATTGTAGCAACACCAGGAAGATTGCTGGATCATATGCAGGTAGATAAAACAAGTATGTCTAATCTCCATAATTAAAACATTAAGACAATCCCTGTCTGACTCTGAGTTTGTTAATCTTTTAGAACACTCCAGGTTTCATGTATAAGAACTTGCAGTGTTTGGTAATTGATGAGGCAGATCGTATCTTGGAGGTTGGATTTGAAGAAGAAATGAAACAGATCATAAAGCTTCTACCAAGTAAGAAAAAAAAGAAATCTGTCTTCCATGCAAATCACTTGACTATCTTGTCTTCTTTATGACTCAATTATTATAAGAGAAGTTGTTAATTTTTACAGTTCTGTAAATGCACTTTAGTGTGATTGTCTTACTCTGTCCTTTTTTTTCTGATGCCTAGTACATATTTATTTAACATCATTTATGAGGGCAGAGTTTCCAAACACATTTTAGGGTTAAAATTCTGTTCATGTAAGATCCTTCTAGTTTAACATCTACATTCTCCATTTATCTTCCTCTGCTTGTTTATTTCCTACAATTAATTATATCCCACTATTAGGAAAAAAAGTCTCTTCACTTGGAGTTTCAGTTTTCTTCACACCTCTAAGAACAGTCTAAGTATTCATGTTAAAATTTTCTTTTAATAAGTTTTCATTCAGTTTCTTCTTGTAATTGCTGTATGTAACACATTCTCAAGGTCAAAAAGGCTCTCCTGTTGACTTTCAAAATGCAGAAAAAAATACTCTATGGAAACTATCTAAAAATTCAGTGATAAATATTTAGAATTTTCACACCTTAAACATTTAAGTTCAGATCTGCATGTTTAAAATGCAGATATATAAACCTAATAAATAACATCCTGTGAAAAATGTTAATGAACAGTGCTAAAAATGGAAGGAGGAGTGGGAAAATGACCTGTTTTCAAGTGGAAAATAAGAAAAAGAGAATGTCATAGGATGGGGATGTGTATTTGAACTGAGAGGTGACAGACTGGCAGCAGATTGCCTACATCTGCTCTAAGACCACTGAAGTCACTGAGGCTCAGTACAGACCAACTGGCAGGTGACTAAACAGCATGCACAAAACATGTGTGTTCCAGACTGATTTTCCAAGATAAACAGTAATAAATAATGTACTGAAGTGTTGGGAAGTTTTTTCTTGCACAGTCTCCAGCATGATTTTCTTTTTTAAATAAACATTTTAATATTCATTGCAAGGAAGTAAATTTAGAGTTAGAATTACAAGGTCAGTCTCTATTTCAGTCATTCTTTTGTGTCTAAATTGGAGTGTAAATTATCACTAATGTGTTCTCAGAAAGAAAGAATATTATGTTTTGATAACTGTTAGGATTTTTGGGGTGGGGGCAGCCTAAGTAAACATCTTCTAGAATCCATAATACAACTTTGTCTGTCTTTGTCAGTAGCAGTATGTTTGAATTAAAATTTAATAGGAAAAAGTAGAAGACCTGATCAGGGAAATGTGCAGCTAGAGATGTTATGGACTTGCTATTTGAATTCTCTTTTGAAAAATGATGCTGTCTTTCAAAATAATTACCTTTTCAGAGCGCAGACAGACAATGCTTTTTTCTGCTACACAAACCAGAAAGGTTGAAGATCTGGCAAAGATCTCTCTGAAGAAAGAGCCACTATATGTTGGGGTTGATGATAACAAGGAGACAGCAACAGTAGATGGTCTTGAACAGGTAAAACACAAATGTTACTAAAAAGGGTGTTATCTGTGAACTTTCCACATCCTGTGTGTTTTTAGCTGGGCTGCACAAACATTTTCTTTAAAGGGTGTTAACCATCCTAATGGGCAAATCTATCAGTTGCCTTAAGGGCTTTATTTAGTTTGCTAATGATAGTATGTTATATGCATCTATATACAGTAGTTTCTGTGTGGAGTTGACATGATGTGTTGTTATATAATTACCAGTAGCTATATATTACTTTAAGAGAGTAAAATAGTAGCAACAATTCCATAAAATAAAATTCTTAAACTCATAAAAAAAAATATTAAGAACCCTGTGCAGTTTTTTTCCATGCTTAATGTCAGTAATTCAAAGTTCTCTAAATGAATTTTTATTGTATAAACTAATTACTTTTTGCTTAACTAACATTAGTTTGGACAATTAATTAAAAATTACTTCATATTTCAAGCTAGCACAGTAAGTTTCTTGCCAAGTTCATAGTCTTTAGGAGTTTCATATAACAAGGTGAGGGAGAGACAATACATTGAATGGTTTAGCCCAGTATAGCTGGAAGATTTAACTATTTGGCATAATTTTTTTGCAACCTAACACCTCCCCAGTTCAGCTGCATTGCTGAAACAAAATTTTTTTCCATGCTACTATATTTAACAATATTTAAATATTTTCCAGGGGTATGTAGTGTGTCCATCTGAGAAAAGATTCCTTTTGCTCTTCACATTCCTCAAGAAGAACCGAAAGAAGAAACTAATGGTATTTTTTTCTTCATGTATGTCTGTGAAGTACCACTATGAATTACTCAACTATATCGACCTGCCAGTTTTGGCCATTCATGTAAGTATTGCATTAATGGATTATTAATGTGATAGTACCTGTAAGTTATTACTGATCTTATATTTGCCTTGTTTATTTCAGTCCAGTTTCTAATAAGCAGATGACCTGCTCACAGAACTGGTGATCTTGCTTAGTCTGTAGCAAAGACTATGCAATAGCAACATGTCAACATTGTTAGTCTTAACTGTTTTCCAACCCATGGTTGAGGTCTGATATTAATTTGTTTTCTGTGTCTAGAAAGCTTTCTGTTTTCTTCCAAGGGCTTGCCTTTCATAACCACTAAAACTCAATTTGTGGAGCAGAGCTACTGTCAGAGGAGTCCAAACACTGTTCCATAGTGTGTTGGGTGCTTTCATAAAGCGAGGGTGATGTTTGGTTTTCCTATGCCAGCTCTAACCATTTGGATGAGTATCTTAAATATTCATCAAAACCACAAAATGGAGGAAATTCAGTAGAAGGTTCATGAGAAAGAATTAACTGGAAGATTGTGAAACAGTTACAGTTGACCATTTGTGGGGTTTTTTTTAACCTGTAATCTAACATATTGCTAGAGTTGCAAATGTCCTTTCAGCCCTCCTGAAAGAATGTTTATGCAACCAAATGTTTCATGCTTGAGAAGATACAATGTAACCTCTGAGAGATACTATTTCACCTCTCCCTGTGATCCTGTGATTGTGGCAGTATTGATTCTTCACTGTGAAATGGTCCTGCTTGACCTGTACAAGTCCATGATCCAGAAAGATGCCCCAAAATATTTTTGGCACTTGGCATATTATTATTTCCTTTAGTTTATATTTCATCCTTAATGTGTTTCTTTCTTTTTAGGGCAAGCAGAAACAAACCAAACGTACTACAACATTTTTCCAGTTCTGTAATGCAGAATCTGGAATTCTGCTGTGCACTGATGTAGCTGCAAGAGGACTGGATATTCCTGAAGTTGACTGGATTGTCCAGTATGACCCTCCAGATGATCCAAAAGTAAGTTCAGGAGATAGAAAAGCTTCACAGCAGCAAATTAAATCGTGCCTACAGAGTAAAGCTGTGAAATTTGAGCCATGTTAATATCTAGCAGCTGATTTCTTCCGTTTTCCTTCTCTAGCTCCTAGGTGATGCTGCATCTAGCTGAGACCTTTGTTAACTTTGTAAAAGTTGTTTTTTAAAACATTATTCTTTGTTCTGTTAAATTAATTTAAAATTTAATCAGATAAACAATAAAACACTTCTTAAGAAGAGTATAAGTGTGTATGTCTGAGTCTGCTAACTTTTTCCAGTAGAAATTTGACTTCTAAATAAAAATCAGTACTCTTATTTGATTAAATGTCCAGTGTAAACAAGCAAAACTCAAAAAAGTCAGCAGTTTTTACAAATATACAGAAAAAATATATCAAAAGCAAAACTTAGTTTTCAGTTAATCTTCAATTTTAGCAGACTAAGATTTTTTCTTAAGAAAAAGGCAAAATACTTTTACTCAGGCGTTCTGTCGCAGCATAATTATGCTTTGCATCTTCAGCACTTGATTTCCCTCATTCATGTGTCAGTGCTAAGAAAAAGTCTTAAAAAATAATGGGTGATTCATTGCACCACGTTAATGTTAAACTTGATTTTTGCTGTTTGATTATTGCATGTTTGAGAGACTGATTGGATTTGCTGTTTCTTTTTCTCTCCGAAAGGAATATATTCATCGTGTTGGCAGAACTGCCAGAGGCATAAATGGTAGAGGACACGCTCTGCTCATTTTACGGCCAGAAGAACTGGGCTTCCTTCGCTACCTTAAACAGGCCAGGGTAAGTTTATATGTCCACATTTTATTTTATTATTTTTTTACTGTACAACAGGTTTTTAAAGGTGAAAACTGTAATAATTGAACATTTTAATATTTTAAGCAAAAAACAATCTGTTGCTTAGAAAATATTTAACTGAACATCTGCCTTTAAGTCTAAAGTCAGCAGCGCAAAGATAAATATTGAGTGTATTTATAGTTGCTTTGCAACTGTGCAACTTGTGTTATTTAAAAAATATATTTCCTGTGACCTCTGTGGAAAGATACTGAGAGCTTGACTATCTACAGGAAATTAAAACCCAGATGTTGCTTCTGTAGTGTTTTTTATATATTGGAAGTCAGTTGCATTTTGTTCAATCGCAAAGGAATTGCAGCTGCCTTCTAAATGTAATCATTTTCATATGATAGAACTGCACTTAGTTTCTTGGCTGCTATCCTATGGGCTTGTTTACACTTCAGAGGTTTGCCACTTGTAATTGAAATGATATAGTTTATAAAACAAAGTAAAGGGGTTGAAGTTTCATGCTGAGTGTCTATTACTCTAGCTTAAAGGAGGTGATGGTATATTGATGGAAGGTGCCTTACAGATACAGCTGTGGTATTAAAAATCTGTTATCAAAAAGATTACTTCCTATTTGTCTTAGATCTTAAACACATTAATTATTTACACAGTATAAATAGTTTAGATATTTTATTTCTCTTGTTTTGTTTTGTTTTGTTTTGTTAAGGTGCCACTAAGTGAATTTGAATTTTCCTGGTCAAAAATTTCAGACATCCAGTCTCAGGTATGAAATTACTTAATACTAAAGCTACTCTGAATATCTGTGTAATAATTTATATGGAGAATATTAGTCTATAACTGCAGTCTTAAAATATGTATGCTTGTTTGGAAAAAGTTCCTCGATAGCAGTTAAAGCAATAATGTTTAGAAATTAAAGGTGAACTTTAATATCTACTACTAAATTGTCATCATTATATATTATAAATTTTCTTGTAATAATTGTTTTTTTGCCGTACATCACAAAACCACAGTGATGTAAACCTGCTTTCAACTTTTAAACACAATTTTCTTGTCTAACATAGCAAACAGTGTTTGAGTAGCTGTTACTGAATAGCTATGTATGTGCAGATCATTTGCAAGTGACATATGTCTTTCAACTAGCTGGTATTAATAAAGCGCAGCATCAGCTAATCCTGTTTCGTGCTCCAGTGCTAGAAAAACAGCTATGGAAGATGAGTAGAATAGTGTAGATAGTTGTGTAGATGTGAATTTCTGTTGTTTTTTGGTTCTATGAATCATTATTTTGATAAGATAAAGCATCTCTGCAGGAAATTAAATTTGAAATAGGAAGTACAAGAAGCAGTGAAGACAATCTTTCCAGAAGGAGGTAAAGATTAGGGAGCAATGATGTTTAATATAACTTACTCTTGGTATGCTGAATTAACATATGTTAAACAGCAAGTGAGACACTTGGAGCTAAAGTGTATTGGGAACTTAACCCGCAACAAATAAAGCATCTTAGTCTACACTAGTGCATCTGCATTTTGGTCTTAAATTAATACAGGTTATTTTAAAATGCTCCTCCATTTAAAATGCAACCTCCATTGGTTTATAAAAGCACTCTGATATATGTGCACTCTACTGCTACAGGGAAGTTTTGCTGACGTGAATATTCTATGTCACTGCAACTCATACAGTAAATTAATCTGCTGGAATATAATATATATACTTGTTACAGCTATAATTGGATATGTTTTGATTTTGTGGTGTTTTTTTTTCTCCTCACTAGCTGGAGAAACTGATTGAGAAGAACTACTTCCTTCACAAGTCAGCCCAGGAAGCATACAAAGCTTACATTAGAGCTTATGACTCCCATTCTCTGAAGCAGATCTATGATGTCAATAACTTGGATCTTCCCAAAGTCAGCCTTTCGTTTGGTTTTAAAGTTCCTCCATTTGTTGACCTCAGTATCCTTTTACTACAGGGTTTCACAGCTGAATCTCAGCTTTATAAATGTAACTTAGTGAAATTCCTGGTGCCACTTCAAGTTCTGATTGTGGGGGTTTATTTGCAATTACATAATACATCATGCTCTAACAAAGGTTTTTCAAAGAAAATGTTAAACTTCTGGTTTTGCGGTTTTAATATTTGTTTACAAACATCTGTGTTTTAGTGCATGTGCATCCTCCAGTTGCTTCAGACATGTTCCAGAGTACTGTTCACTGAAAGGTACATGCTTAAGTTTAATAATTATGGAAAATCGAAAAAGAGGAGCAAAAGCATGAAATAGAAGACAGTATCTAAATTACTGTCAAACCTGCCAGTGGAGGGAATTTGAAGCAGTAGAACTTTGGCCAACTCAGTTGGACAATTGGATAATAAAACCATTATTTAGAGCCAAAGGCACAAACTTCTAGTTTTGTCCATAGTTAATGTGACTCAACTGCTTGTATAATGCTGACAAATACCTAAAAAGCAACATTTCAAATTATTCCTTTTTAAGTTCTTTAACCAATACAATTTCAGATGTCAACAGCAACCATGGCAGAAGACTACAGAAAAGAGGTGGAGGTGGGGGCTTTGGTTACCAGAAACCAAAGAACGTCCACAAAGCTAAGATCTTCAAAAACATTAGCAAGAAATCGGATCATCGGCAGTTCTCTCGTTAGTCATACATTCATGAACATGGCTTGTGGCATTGGAATAGACCACTTTGATCAAAACCATCTGGCATTTACTTCCAATGTAAACTGCTCTATTCACATTTCTAGAGGTCTTTATGGTTTTGTTTCTGGGAACATCTTTTATCTGTCAGTTCAGGAAGACTCTTTGGAAAAGAGACTAAAAATAGAAAGGCAGAATATGGCTGCTAATTTTGCCATGCTTGTAAGGAAGAGATAGTTGAATGTAATTATACTAAGTCAATATTACAGAGTTTTTTATTTAAAAAATACCTCTAGGTTTTATAGAAGAATTTGCTTACATTTGCCCTTTTTCTATGCACACCTTTGGAAATTGCTGGAGTAAATGCAAGGACTGATTACTGTGAGACTAAAAAAAAATAAATTTCCTCACATGAATGATTGCAAAGGTTTTTAGTGCTACAGAACTCTGTTTTGTCCCTCAGACATGCTAAAGAATATAGGAAGATGCCTTTAAAACACAACATACTTATGAATAATTAAAACTGTATGAGCTTGTGATCAATTTCAGTCATGGTATCTGTGATAGAGGTACAGTGTCCAAAATCTTTTAAAAAATTCTCTTGTGCCACATCTGGGACATGCTTAATGCTGTTTGGCTTAATGTTCTGATAAAATGGTAACATTCTAGTGAAGTGTTTGCTTTTCTTTCATGTTCTATTTACATCTGAATTTTACCCATCTACTAATGTCTAGTGTACTTTCTTAGAAATATGCAAAGAAAATTAAGAAAATCAGATCACAGAAATTAAAGCACTCAGCCCACATGTTTTTTAAAATGGTCCATAACCATGATGCAGTGAGAATTTTTGCAGTTGTATCTTGTAACTTACAAAGGTGAATTGCTTTTTAGTCCTCGTTTGTGAGATCAGTGATAGGCAAAGTCAAAGATAACACCGTGGGATTGAGGGAGTGGAGAGACTAGAAAAGCAAAATAGGGTATAAATAGACTAGGAGGATATTTTGAGACTGAAATGGAAGAGAGTGGGATGCACATTGCAAACAGTGCTAAGTAAAAAAAGAAGACACAAATTGAGCAAGAATAGATTAACTACATTACTGTTTTCATATCTCTACCATTGTAGAAGTAGGTAGCTATTCTTAGGCTACAATGGTGGTGGGTGATAGTGTTTCAGAAATGTACATCCATCAGTGCAGGGAAAGACTAAAATACCACAGAATCCAGAAATCTGGGACTCGTGTGTTTACAGTAAAACAGCTTTTCATTTTCATATACATGTGACCCAGGACCAATAATGAATACAAAAGCACATGTAGTTATTCCAATGTAAAATGGGCTGTTATTCCTTAGGTCTCTTGAAATAGCAAGTAATTTAAAACTACGGTATATGCATTGAGGTATTGCAGAAGAACACTGGCAAACTTTCTTTTCACCCTTAGAGAAACCTGAATTTATTTTTTTTTTAAACAGTATGACCATTCTGTTTCTAGTGCTTCCACCATTCAGAACTTAGGAGTATTGCCTTTTTTACATTTTCTTGTGAAACAGCTGAGTCAGCCCTAAAGGATCATTCAGTACTTTTATTTTACAATGGTTGGATACTAGAAACTTCTGATATGTCAGAATGTTTAACTAAATTAATTTTGTAACTAGGATTTGAATGTTCATTCTTCCAGGGCTGCAATGAAAAGCAAAATCTGCTCTGAAGACTAAGCAATACTAAGTACATGTTGCCTGGCTCATTAAGTTCTCATCTTTGATTCTGGGTTTGCTTATATATTTATAAATAATAGATGTCAACAATAGTTCTCATGTCTGTTTATTAATAGCATACTTTAAGAATTATCTCTGAGATCTACGGAATCAAGCAGGTGAAGCTTTCTCTCCACACCTGCAAGCTGTGCAGATACAGAATGGGAATTAACATTCATTACAGTGAAACTGACAGTATGGGAATTAACTTACATTACAGTGAAACTAACTGAGGAACTCATTAGATGATCTACAAAATTAAGTACTTAAAAAGACAGGTCAGCAAAGCTGGATTAAAGCTCTGTGAAGATGAGAGCATGGTTATTTGGTCGCAAGCAGTGTGAATGAAGTATTCATTTGAAACAGGAAAAAAGCAGAGTCATTGACTGCCTATCTGATCATGTGCTGCACAGCCAGAACTGGTTGGGTTTAAAAGCAAATCAGAATTCCTGCAGCTTCTCTATGTGGGCAAAAATCTGCTCCACAGACACCTGCTTTTTTCTGTTACTTCTTGTCATTCTGGGAGCAGAAGGCTAACTGCTTTCCCAGCAGCTAGAATAACTCCTGCTCTCCCTATCTTTTTCTTTGGAAGAATTAAAGCACTGTCAGTTTCTAAAGTGTAACATGAGGACAACTAAAAGTTTGCCCAACTCCTCCCTGGCAGTTTTGCTTTGCAGTTTCTTATATACAAAAAGAACTTTTAAATAATCTCATATAGGAGATGAAAAGACTGGTTGGTTTTGCTCTAGAGCATACTAACTTACTCTAAAAAAAAAAAAAAAGTTAACACTTTTTCTTTTACATAAACATTATAGATGTACAATGGCTGCACAGCCTGAAGTACCTATGCTATTTCACACTGTAATTTCCTGATTATGCAGAAGATCAGTTCCTGAACTGAAGTAGTAATTAAAACAGAGAAGAGCTTCAGCTTCCTGGACTGTGCAGATGCAGTTACTTTTCTCTTTGTTTATGAAATTATAAATGAAAGAATAGTTTCTGGTTAAGTATCTGTGTTTATCAGGCAGCATCTATTCTGCTATGGTACTGCAAGAAGTTTAAAAAATTGTCAAACTGATTGGAAATCTAACGTTTCCCTTGCAACTTACCCTGTTATCAATCTTGTGAGCAGTTAATAGACCTCAGCAATCAGATTCTCAAGGCTTGCCTCATAACAGTGACTGATAGGCTGGGGACTAATATTGTGTGCCTTGAGAAATTGCCTTCTTTCTCTGAGAACCTTGACAAAGAAATTGGACTCTTTAAACCACTTAAGGGGGTAATCAGAACTGTCCTGCTTGAACTGAAAGATTTTTTTGACAGTTCTTGGAACAGGCCCATAAAGGAGAATTCCATTGCTGAGCTACTACTCATAATCATGAAGAATCTTATCATTATATGAGATTTTTGTGCCGTAACACTGTGGAGTTATAGACAAGCACAAGACCAGTCAGAAAGTGGTGCCATCAAATTTTTCAGGGTAGATGTCACAGGTAGAGGGCACATTTATTGACAGCGTAGAGCTAGAATGCTTGAGAACTAGGTAAGATAACTAGCTACTTAGATCCATTGTAAATAAGAAGTGTATTTATATTTTGGCAGTAATTGGGCTCTTTGTTCCATGTATGAGTTGATGAATCAATTTAAGCTACCAAAGGTACTCTAATGATTTGCTTTCAAGCCAGTAATCTAAGACTCGGAGTAAGGAAGCTCTCACAGGAAGGGTGAAAAAGACTGATTAAATAAGGAAATAACATTTTAGTGGGGGTCTGCAGTTTCTTCCCACTGTGAAAGAAGGCAGAGTACTAACAGGTTACAGCACAGGTCTGTGACTTGTTTTTAGTACTACCACTGTCCTGTTTAAGAGACAGTTGTCTAGTTACTTCAACCCCTAAAAACTAGGTATTTTACAGAGATCTAAAAACCTAACAACCATAAAAGACCCAGCTATTAGCCTTTCAAAGGTGCGTTGCTTAGGGGTTTTTTTCAAGCTAAAATAACTGCTGAAAGCAGCTTAGAATCAACTGGCCAGGCATGCAAAATAAAATCTGTCTCTGCTCTTGATTTTTGCTCTGCTAGCTTGATTTCCTCAGGATTTAGCTGCTTGGTTTGACAGAAGAATTCATGCAACTGTTCTAATGCTTTTGTCTGCTCTAGATTTATAGAAGATGCTGAGCCATGACAATAAGAATCCAGCCTCTTGAACCAGAATGCTCTTTCCTCCTAAAAAATTTGCTGCCTTGCATCAAAGTCATAAATACTATAATGTTGCTTGTGTCAAACCTCTTTATTGCACAACCACGTGGAGAAGAGTTTCCCCTTTTTTTTTCTCTCTCCCCTTAGCCACCACAATAAACTTTTGATACAGAGTTGTAAGGAGAGGTAGAGGAAGGATGCCACTGAGATAATGGAAGACATGGAAAATCAGGGTGTTGTCTAGAAACACACTCACTTTGTCACATTGTTGTCATCCAGATTTAGAACTGCATTCACCTTTCAAAAAAATACCTGAGTCCACTCTACAATAGGAGGCCATCATCCCAGACACTTTTATAAGATATAACTGAAAAACATAAGCATCTGCTTTTTTTTCCCAGTTGGTTAGAATTAAAAAGAAGAAAATCATAGGCTCTGAAAAATCTTGTATAACAATTCCAAAACTTCTTCCAAATGCTCCTATTTTGGCTGTCATCTGAAGATATGTAGCCACACAGAGCACCTCTGAGCACCTCTACAAGTGGTTGCAATCGCCTATGAATGTTGAGAGTTCCAGGAATATTAAATGTACTACTCTACATAACTAAACCTAGGCATACACTCACAGGGGTTGAAAGACCATGTGAATTTGCAGAAGCTTTAAGTGTCTTCCTTAAAAGCTCTGGATAACAATTCTTAGTGTATTTTCACTTCTAATCAGCAAAGCCCTTTTTGTATAGGAAGAGAAAACAGACTTGAGTAGAAGGTTAAATTCTGCCCACCACCTTTCTCTAATTGTTACTTGGGCACCTAATAATGAATTTATGAAAGGATAATGTAACACAAATACCTACAGAAAAAAAGGCAAGCAAAAGAAAACAAACAAAAAACCCAAAACAAACATCAAAAAAACACCAGAAAACTTAAAGCAACATGATTTTTCTATAGAAATTACACTTGTTGATATCTTTATAGTCCTCACTTAATTATGGCAGAAGAAAAGTTAGCTGAATGGCTTGTAGCACTTCCAAGAGCTAATTCTTTAATACTAGAAAAA